GGCTTGAACCCTGGTCTGAGTTCAGTGTGGATATGGAAAGGTGACCATTCTCAAGAGGCAAGAGCATTTGATGCTGGGTTTGAATCTCAATTTTGTTTTGAAACTACATCAATAACGTGTAGCTCGTTTGCTGGCCTGCAGCCCAGCTTGTTTAGAAATCCATTCTATTCTCTCTCGTATTCCTAGTCCCAAAGAATCTATGCTGATCGCGTGGTTACACATCCAGCCAAGCACAGGCTTAGGTTGCTCTCGACTCAGAGCTCACTCTGTCACAGGTTGAAGGAGAATGCAAGAGACAGTGGAACCCAAGATGGTGAATAATATTAACCAAAGGCCAAACTCTATAAAATGCTTATGCCAGGAAGGAGGACAAGGGGGAACAAAGTTTGGAACAGTATCTATGTGTGTGTATGTGTATGCGTACTATATGTGTGTTTATAATGTATATATATGTGAATATATTTGTTATATATTTAAAGTATATAATTATATTCATGTACATATCTATATATATATATGTGAATATGTTTGTGTGTACACATATATGTATATCCATATATATCCATACCTATATATTAATATGCATATATAGGTATTGCCACTGTATGTACATATATAGTGTGCCTATGAAGGACAAGGCATGGTGCAATGCCCTATGGGGAACTTGGTACAATAAGATGCAGGTCCTCTTCTTAAGGAATCTAGAAGGCATATGGTGATTAAAAGCCATTAACTATCCCAGGAATGCCCATCCTTCTCCATGATCCGGTAGCTGATATCAGATAATTTGCCCCTGGATTTTGTGAATAATAAAGAACAGAAGGCTGGTCAGTTTCTTCCTCTCTCCTGAAAGGCAGTGATCACATTTTCTAATTGTACTGCCTGCTTTTAGAAAAGGTCTCTGCTGCAATCTAACCAGCACAGTCCCTCTTTGCTTCAGGGTCTTGGCAAGAGCAGGTTCTGATTCCGAAGCATTAACATTCTTCAGGGCTCTGACTCCTCTCAGAGGTCTGTTTGCTTCTGACCCTGCAGATGCAGGTCATCACGGATGTTTATTTGTCTGTTACTTAAACTCAGGACACATGTACAGCAGTAAATTCTTCATTTGCCAGAGTTAATCACAGCCATGCTGTAGCTTATATCATTCCCACTGCCCATTGGGAAAGCCTTGAAAATATAGATGGGATTTGTTCTCCAGGAAATAAGTTCAACAAACCAGATTGGTGAGACTACACAGAGGGAGAGGTTTGAGTTGGAGTCCCTCCTTGGATAATATCTTATTCCACTCCTGCCAAGGATCAAATTTAAGACTTGCTGTATTCCAGAAAATAGACTAGTGACAACTTGGCGTGGAAGGAAACAAGAAAAGGTTTTATTTGCTTGCTTTTTCATTAAACATTTTTAAAAATTAAAGTCGTGGAAGAAAATGTAATGTTACTCATGCTTCCCTACTCAACTGAATATGAAAAAGTGCTAACATTTTGTCATATTGACTTCAGATCATTTTTATTAAGAAATAAAATATTTAGAAATAACTGAGATCCCTCACTTTCCTCTCCCTAGACCCAGTTTCCCCAAAGCAAATGTTGTCATGCATATAGTGTGTAGCTAGTACATTATCATCCTTCTGTTACGTGGATATTTATACAGCTATAAACGGTATAGGGCATTGTTTTAATACCTTTAAAAATTATGATAGTGTTACACTATACCTTTTGACAATGTGTTTTTCTTCTATCAACCTTGTATTTTTGAGAATTATCTATGTTTGAGTTCACTCATTTTAACTGCTATGCAGTACCCTGTCATATACATTTGATGCTGTTTATATATTCATTCCTACACAGATGATCATTTCCGAATTTTTGCTATTGTAAGCAAAGCTACAATGCACACCCATGTGTAGTCAACCCTTCATATCCGTAATTTTTCATATATGGATTCAACTCACTATGGATCGAAAATATGTGAAAAATAATTGTGTCTGTACTGAACATGAAAGAGACTTATTTTCTTGTCACTATTCCCTAACAATAAGTTCTATAGATATCTTTTGTGTCAAGATTGCTAATCGTGCTGCTTTTTCTTCTAAATTTGTTTTTCTTAATATCTTGTAACTGTGTTTATGTGTTTCTCATAAAGATGTTTTATTAAGTTAAGCTAGTAACTAGTACTCCCAAAACCTAGCAAGTTAGCACACAAAAGTCTTGTGCAAAGTGAGCTATGTAATTGTGTGATTCCTGCAGTCGACTTGGTGACTCACAGATCCAGGTTTTCATCTCAAGAAAAGGCAGGTTGGAGCTGCCACATCTTACACCCACTTACTTCTGCTTTGGTTAGGAGGTGGCACATGTTAACTTCCACTCAGAGCCCTTTGGCCAGACTTGCCTTGCAGTATTTTTAGGTACAGAGTGGTCTTTTTTTTTTTTTTTTTTTGAGACGGAGTTTCGCTCTTGTTACCCAGGCTGGAGTGCAATGGCGCAATCTCGGCTCACCGCAACCTCCGCCCCCTGGGTTCAGGCAATTCTCCTGCCTCAGCCTCCTGAGTAGCTGGGATTACAGGCACGCGCCACCGTGCCCAGCTAACTTTTTGTAATTTTTAGTAGAGACGGGGTTTCACCATGTTGACCTGGATGGTCTCGATCTGTTGACCTCGTGATCCACCCGCCTCGGCCTCCCAAAGTGCTGGGATTACAGGCTTGAGCCACCGCGCCCGGCCACCAGAGTGGTCTTTATTTACTATGCTCAGCTGAGTTGATGTGTGCCTTTAGTGTGAGAATTTAGGGTTTTCCTTAGTTATGGAAAGATTCTCTGCTGTTAGCTGTTTAAATTGCTTCTTAGTATTCCTGCTGTGGCCTAATTCTGGAAATTTTATATGGTATATGTTGGAGACTCCATATTACTTAACTTTTTTTTTCTCTCTCTCTTTTTTTAACCTCATTATGTCTCAGTGCTGTACTCAGAATTATTTTCTCAGTACTGTCTTCCAGTTCACTAGTGTTCTCTTCTACCATGAAAACTGTTGGGTCAATTTCATCTATAAAGTTTTGAAATTTCAATTATATTATTTCTATATTCTAGTTTCTATATTGATTATTTTATTAGTCATTTTTCTCAATGTATGTCTTCCAGTTTACATACATTATCTTTTGAGTATTTTAAGGTTATTCTGAGACAATTATATGCATTTTTTTTCTGTAGTCAAATTGTCCTCTGTTGTTGAGTTTTGTGGATATCTTCTTGGTTCTGCTTTTCCTTATTGGTTTTGAATTTTAGGTTGCTTGTTTATCTAGAGTGAAAGTTATCTTTGAAAATAAATCTTTAAGGCCGGGCGCGGTGGCTCATGCCTATAATCTCAGCACTTTGGGAGGCCGCGGCGGGTGGATCACAAGGTCAAGAAATCGAGACCATCCTGGTCAACATGGCGAAACCCCGTCTCTACTAAAAATACAAAAATTAGCTGGGCATGGTGGTGCATGCCTGTAGTCCCAGCTACTCGGGAGGCTGAGGCAGGAGAATTGCTTGAACCCAGGAGGTGGAGGTTGTGGTGAGCCAAGATCATGCCATTGCACTCCAGCCTGGGTAACAAGAGTGAAATGCCGTCTCAAAAAATAAATAAATAAATCTTTAAATATCTATCATGTTTACAGATTTTCAGTAGCTTCCGTGTGGCTCCCTGAGAATCTCAGACCAGAAACAAGTTTTATGTTAGTGGGCTGGGATTTCTGTCTCATAGGTTGGGGATATTGCAAATCCAGTACCTAGCAGCTTGTGACAAATCTGATCTGTGTGAATTGCTCTGTTCCTTCCTGTCTCACATGTACATGGTGATACAGTTCACAGCCTTAATTTTTCCTCATTTTACCCCCTCTGTTTGGGAGACCCTACAAGTTTTATGCTGAGTCAGGCTTGCAGCCCTAATTCAGTAGTGTTCAGTGACAGCCTTCTCTGCCTTTGTCTGTTTCTAACCTAGAGTTCAACAACCCCATGATTCAGCACTTTTTCCTTGATGTCTGTTTCAGTACTCTTCCGGTGTACAAGACATGTTCATCTTGTATTGGGTATAGATGTAACTTTTAATTTTTGAAATTTCACCTAGAATTGCCTTTAGTGATGTATCAAGGAAAAGGTATTGAATTTGTAAGTTTACAATGTTATCTTGATGAGAAATCTTTTACATTTATTTTACAGAGTTTAATTGATTGTAAAAGAATAGATGTTCATTAACATAGATTTGGAAACTATTGAAAAGCATATAGAAAATATTTAAATAACCAAAAATACAACTGCATAAAATAATTACAGTTAACATGTCAGTGTGTTGTCATCTATGCTTTGCTTTTCACTAAATAGAATTCACACTATATATTTAGTTTTACATCCTTCTCTTTTATACCAGCCATTATAGGGTGGATTTACCATGCCATAAAATCATCTTCAAAGGCAATTTTTTTAACAGCTCCTTAATGTCCCAACATATGGAGGTACTATAAAAACATAAATCATCCAAATTTTTAATATCTCTCTTAGCATAAATTAACAAGTAATTACTTACTAAAAGAGTATGAATATTTTTAAGGCACTTGATACATAATGTAACATTTCGATCCAAATATGCTGTTTCCAATTTACATTCCATTGGTAGCATAATCATTCTCTAGCCAGTACTAGGTATTTTCTCTCCAACTTTACCAGTTGGATAGATGAAAAATGCTGCCCGTTGACATGATAGTGCTCTGAAATATTCCAATATCTCTTTTGATATTAGTTCTTAAATTCTCATTCTTTAGTTGTGTGTTTTTCTTTCTAAATAAGACTCTAGGTTCTTCTCCTTTCCTGGTTTTCCCAGAGAACCTGTTTTAATATTTTCCATTTTTCATGATTTTTGCTTATATGCATTTTTCTTCTTTAGCCTTTTGTTGTGCAAGTTCTCTTATTTTATGACTCTTTAAGCTCATTGTTTAATTAATTAATTTTAGTTGTCTTCTGTCTGTTTACAGGCTTACCTGCTTTGTTACTTCTGAATCTATATTCTGTAAGTCTTGATATGATTTTGCTTATTTTCATTTATTTCCAAAGTAGGTATGACTGATGTTTATTTACTTTCTGATCTAATATTTATTGAGGAAATTGCCAATTTATTTTAGTTTTTAACTTTAATTTCTGACATTCTAGTTTAATTAAATTGAAGTTTGAGATTACAGATTTTTTTCTTTCAAGAACTTTTTCAAATATACTAGATTAATTGGCAAATTTAAAAATGCTTCATGGGTATTTGAAAAGAACTTATATTTTCTTTTTGAAGGGTATAAGGTAGTATATGTATATGTAAGTTTATTTATTTATAATTAGACTCAAGTGTTTTATTCCTTTTAATATTAGTTTAATCTGTCAGAGGCTGACAATTGTAAAATATTTTTCAATTCATTATTTCTGGAAGTTACTGCTAAATAGATTTTGGTATTTGATGAATATATCATCTGTAGCCTAAGTGATATGTCCTTTACATCTTCATTGCAGAGGGCTCCTTTTCTCAGCCCAAAATATCATCTTCTTTTTCCAGATACTGCTTTCTGCCTTTCATGTTGTTGCCATCATTGTTTTCTGCAAGTCTTTCTCACTTACTATTATTTCAGTTTTAAAATTATTCTTTAAATTTTATTTAAAGGTTTTTGGTGATCTGTGTATATTTGATTTTGTAACAGCTATTAGGAAAATTTAAGGCATTTACATCTGTTGCTATAACGTATATTTGGGCTTAATTTTATAACTTTGTCTAATGCTTTCTTGCTTTTTTCTTTTTCTGGGTTTTGTCTGTTTCCATCTTAAATAGAGGTTTGGAAGGTTGAAATATTTTCATTAATTGTACTAATGGTAATCCTTTTGTTTATAAACTATACACTAAATCCTATATTCCTCTGTCAAACAAGAACAAGTTTCTAATGAGAAACATAAATTAACTGGGCTTTTCTTGACTTTTTACTTCTCTGTATTTATCAGTATTTGTTCCTTTTACCTGGTGTTAACACTATCAACGTTTTATGATAAAATCCTGATCTTGAAAAATATGTAACCTTCCCGGACTTTGAATTTAGTTTCGTGCCCATGTTATAACAATTCTTCATGTACGTTCCTAAAAAGTAAATTGATTTCTAAGTTCCTTGACATTTTCTTTATAGTTTAGCTATTTCAGTCTTGCATTCCTGATTTCTGTTTTTCTTTATTAGTTGACACATATTCACTTTTCCTGTGCTTTCTCAGGAAGAGAAGAAGAATGATTAATGTTTTTATGATTTTAAGCTTAGTAAAATGTCTTCCTGCCACCTTTTTACATGAACGACTGGGACATAAACCTCTTAAGTTATACACTTTTCTAGTCATTGCTCTGGACAAATTGTTTCATTGTCTTCTGACATTTATTTGATTTTGCAAAGAAGGGTGAGGCCAGCCTTATTTTTGCTACTTTAAAGATAAGGTTTCATTCTTCTCATTTTTGTAGGATTCTAAATTTATCATTGAGATTTAAAAGACAGTAGAACTCCCTAATATTTCTAGTCACTAAAATATTTATTTCATTTGGTTCCCCCTCACCCCTTTTACCTAAAGTCTCATAAGCATATCAGACTTAAAAGGTCTTTCTTTCTCTGTGGCAATTTTGATTTTTTAAATTCTTTGGTGATAAATTATCTGTTCCTGCCCCAGTAACACTTCATCTGGATCTAAATAGTCTTTTATGTCCATTGTCTTCTGTTCTATTTTTTCCTCTAAATACTGAGAAATATTCTTTACAATTTCTTCCACGTTATTCTTTTACATTTTTGCAGTTTTACCTCTGTTTGCATTGCCTCAAATATGGACTTTCACTTTACCATTGGATTTTGGGTTTCCCTGGTTAATCCCTTAATTAGGCTAGTTTCCTAACTATCTCTTCATTCATTTCAGAATAATTTTTCCTGTGACACTCTGATTCTTTTTTACAGCATCTGTTTTACAGAGTTTTGGGGGATAGCAAATGAGTTCTACATCTTGCTTTTGTCTCATGTAAAAATAAAATTTCAAATATATCCTCCTTATCTGAGTTCACATGGAAAAGCTCCTTTCCTAGAAGTTATTGTTGTCTTTTTTTGGTAGAATCCATAGTGGTAAATGTATATATGTGTTTTCCTATGCCTATTTTTTAATAGGGATTGCTCTAAGACCAACAGGCATTTTCTGTGGCATGTTCCTTCCTTCTGTCCCACGCTGATTTGGTAGGATTCTACTCTTGAAGTTTGAAGTGATGTAACTTAATTTTGGATGTCTAGGCAGTATTCTTCTGTGTATTTCTGATTTGCAGTTTTATAGATTATTATCGACAGCTGGATATTTTGAGCAAACTTGGCAGCCACTTGGGCTTTTCCTTTGAATGGTGTTCCATGTGAAGACTCTGTTCTTCAGGAAGTGCTTCTCCAATGCTCTTTTTGTTTTAATATGGAATTTCCCAGTCTGGAGTGCAGTGGTGCAATCTTGGCTCACTACAACCTCTGCCTCCTGGGTTCAAGTGATTCTTCTGCCTCAGTCCCCCAAGTAGCTGGGATTACAGGAATGCACCACCACACTGAGCTAATTTTGTATTTTTAGTAGAGATGGGGTTTCTCCATGTTGGTCAGGCTGGTCTTGAACTCCAAACCTCAGGTGATCCACCTGCCTCAGCCTCCCAAAATGTTGGGATTATAGGTATGAGCCATTGCACCCTGCCCGATGCTCTTTGTCCATTTATAATGCTTTTCTTCAAAGGAATGGCCTATCCCTAAAATCTTTCTGTATTTTCTTCATTGCCTGATTGAGGAAGTATGAAGAGAATTCTAGCCCTCTAAGGCTCTGAGGTCACTTACCAGATGGCTCATCAGCGTGGCCAGGAAGTGGGTGGCATCTTACGAGATGCTTTACATCAACTAGACTGCCTATGCCTATATCTAATGCTCTTATTCTTCTTCTTCAAATACACCTAAGTGTGGGGGAGCATTCAATTTGGATATAGAATACAATAAATGGTAAGCAGCCCTGGAGTTTGGGTCAGGGCCTCAAGGTCCATCTGATTGCAGCAGGGTTGTGGGAAGGCCATGTGGGGTCCAGAACACTTAACTGTCTTTTAAAAAAATGACGTAATCACTTACCTGTTTCTGCTGCCCTCAAAATTTTTAAAAGTTACTGAAATGGAATAAAATTAAAACTTACCTACTGCAACTCCTTTAATAGGCAGATGATGTGAAATTTAAAATGGGCACTGAATGGCCAAAAAAAAAAGGTATCCATCAGGTAAAGATGAGAACAGGAGGATATAGATGTCTGGAGAGCTAGTGCAAAGATGTGAGTAGAAGATCTAAAAGAAAGCCACGAATAGCTGGCGTATAGTGGGCTAGGGAGAAAATGGAAAGCAGTGTCCAGGAAAGAAGAGATTTTTATGTTGGGATAAGGAATTTGATTTAATTAAAGTGTTATTGGGAGGCCCCGGGGAAGGAGGATTTAAAAAGCTAAGTAACCTAATATGACAGCAAAATGTTTATATATTTGTTTTATTCATTCATGCACTTGTATATTCTTTCATTCATTAAGTAAACACATATTTATGAAATAACCACTACATGTGATGGAGTTATATCCCAGGATTCCCAATTCCTAGTGTAAGGGGTATTTCTATTATGCCATGCAACTTCTCTACTAGACAATAAATTTTGTGTGAACAGGGTCTGGACTTCTATATATTTGAATCTCCTATGATTTACACAGTACCTGGCTTATGGTAGCCCCTAAATAAATATACTTGATAGATGAATGATAAGTAATATTCTATAATGTTCACAGAGGTCTCTGAAGTAGAGGAATATTTCATATTTCTAAAACACAGTCAAAGACAGTCATCAGCAGCAGTGACCAGGATTCCCACAGGGCAGAGCTCCGTAAAGTTCTTGCAAGGACTGATCAGTGGATTGGACCCACTGACTCTTTTAATCAGGATAAATATGCTGTCCCTTCTGTGCATACATTTGCTGGGATTTTACCATGCCGGTACCAGTGTGGCCATGTTGATAAAAAAGAGTAAAGACTAGTCTCTTTAGTTGCCAACTAAGGTTTAATGAAATCTCATAGCTAAAGCATATATAAATTCAAATAGGAGCCAAGCCCTTCCCCTCTACTGTGGGTTCTATGACATGCAGAGTCTTCTCATAACATGTATTCCCAAGACTTTCAAGAGTGCAACATCTGTTTTACTTTGAGGGAACTATGATAAGTATCTGCTTAGAGGAATGATCTGAACAAAACCAGGGCACATTTGTTTGCCATGCTATAGATTATCTAGTCTTACATTGTTTATGAATAAATCATGCAGGATGGATAAACTGGTAACCACAACAGTATGTTTCATACTCCATTTAAGACATAACTTGATGCATTTGTATTTTCCTGTAGACATTAAAAAATTTATGTTTTAAATAGAAGATCACATGGATTTTGATGTATCTCAGCAGTTGGATATAGATTCCAGAAATTCCTTTATTAAATTGGAGACCAGGTGACTGATTAAAGGTTCTAATGTTCATAACTGTATATTCAATGCATTAAGATAAGTGAGTCAAAGATCAAAATATATGTAGTGTTTTATGAGAACATAAAATACATACCTATGTATGTATTCTATGTTTGTATAAAACATTACATTTAATCCTCAAAACTCACTTCTTAAAGTCACATAGGCAATTAGCAGTGTCTGAACTGAGAACAACATCTTCTCAGTCATAATCTAGTTTTCTTTTTTTTTTTTTCATAATCTAGTTTTCTTGGCTTACCACAACAACTGTTTCATTGATAAGTTATTCTGAAACCACATTTGGGCTACCACTGACATGTAGTATAAAGCTAAATCTAGAACAACTTCATTTTTAATTCCCTGGTCTGGCATACACAGATGGTTCTTAGGATGAATCACATAGATGGAGAAGAAAGATAATACAAAACGTTGATCTTTGGGTGATTGCGTTGAGGATTCTGATCTCT